GTGACGGCAGAGGGGCCGCGGCTCAGACGGACTGTCCCATCCCGCCCGCAGCTCTGCTGAAGAACAACGCCCGGAAGGAGAAATCCCCCAGCGCCCGCCCGCTGCTGGAGATCTACTCGGCCTCAGGGCTTCTCCTGGCCTGCATCCCGGTGAGCCGCCCCAGGGTCGGCCGCCCCCTCCTTTAAGCTGCACCCCGAGTGCTCCGTGGAGGTCTGTGATGTGCCAGGGAGCTTGGGACAGTCCCAGCTGCCCCTCGGAGGACGCCGGAGGCTGTAGCTCTGTGCCCCTTGCAACAATAAGCCCACGGGCAGGGGAACTGTAGAAGGGCTCGCTGGTGACACCGAAGGCTGTATGGCTGGGTTACCAGCTGGGTGTTGCAGGTGAATCACCGGGCTGCGAGGCCGGCAGTCACCTCTGCCTGTGCCACTCGCTTGCGTGCCCTTGGGCAGCTCCTCTGGTCTCTCCACGGGGAAGCAGGATGCTGCCACGTGTCCTTGGCACTACCCTAAGATCTCCGGAGCGATGGCTCCATGCAGCTCCCTCAGTCCCCTGAAAGCTTTGGAGAAGCTGCTCCGGAGCGGTGGCGTGTGCAAGGGGGAAACGGGGAGAGCCATAGGGAGAGGGAGGCTGCCCAGCCTTGGGAGAGGGGGACGGGAGCAGCAGTGTTGGTGCCACAGGAGCATCCTCCCTTCCCTGCTGTCCGGGGCTTGGGGCGGACACAGGGCAGTGAGGACGTGGAGGGACAGGGAAAGCTGCTGCGACGGCAGGGCCCTGCAGAGCCATGGCAGCCGGGGGCATCAGAGCTGCGGATGCCCAACCGTGGCCTTTGGCTTCACGTACGTCTCCTGGAGGGACGTCTCTGGGGCTGGGCCGGCCGGGAGGTGAGCAGCCCCGTGGTGCGCTCACGCGTCTCCTGCCCGCAGTGGAAGAGCGGCCAGCTGGTGCAGCTGGGCTGGACGGCCAGCGAGGACCTGCTGTGCATCCAGGAGGACGGCACCGTTCTCATCTACAACCTCTTCTGCGAGTTCAAGCGCCATTTCAGCATGGGCAACGTGAGTGGAGCAGGATGGGGAGCTCAAGAGGTGCCCAGGGTTGGGTTTGTGCAGCGGAGAAGTGAAACGCTGTGAGGCCTCCCTGAGCGCTCCCCCAGCCCCGTGGGGCACAGTGGGGAGCCTGGGGCTCTCCCAGCCTCACTGCAGGGCTGCCTGCTTTCGGGAATGAGCTGGCAACCATCCCCATGGCCCCTGGGGCCAGAGTGATCCCCTCTTCGCTGCAGGAGTGAGGCCTGTCTGTACTGGGACACCTGCCAGCAGCGCAGCACAGGGCTGGGCTCACTCCTCGCCGAGGCAGTTTCCTTCCCAGAGCAGCGGCGGTGCAGTGCTGAGCCCCGGCTGCCCCGGCTTGGGCCCAGCTCTTTCTCCATGGCACAGGAGGTGCTGCAGAACCACGTGCTGGAGGCGAAGGTCTTCCACACGGAGTATGGCACCGGCGTGGCCATCCTCACCGGGGCACACCGCTTCTCCCTGACCACCAACATCGACGACCTGAAGCTGCGCAGGATGCCCGAGGTTCCCGGTGCGTCCCTTCCCCGCTGCCCCCCGCTCCGGCCAAGCGCAGGGGCCTGACGCCGGTGCCCGGCAGGTCTGCAGAAGCCGCCCTCCTGCTGGGCCGTGCTGTCCCAGGACAGAGTCACCATCGTCCTGCTGGCGGTCGGACAGGACCTCTACCTCCTGGACAACACCTCCTGCTCCGTGGTGGTGAGTGAGCCGCGGCGGGTGTCTGTGGGGAGCAGGGCGGTCTGCAGCCCCCCGCACTCACTGGCAGGTCCCTTCCCTTGTCCCCCCGCTGTCCCACGGGCTGCTCTCCAGCCTCCAGCACTCGCTGGCAGGTCCTTTCCCCTGCTGTCCCATGGGCAGGCGTGTACAGCAGGGACACCTGGCCCCATCCTGGCCAGGGGCAAAGAGGTGAGGATTGAGTGGGTGCAGGGTAGGAAGGGACAGCCCCGCTCTGACCAGTCCTCAGCCCCTTACACAGCATTGGTGCCAGCGTGTGGCACGTCCAGTGACCCCCAGGTGCGACCCTCTCCTTTTCCCTGTCCCAGACCCCCCCTGGCATGAGCCCCTCCGCCGGCGCCTATCTGCAGATGGCCGTGTCCTTCAACTACCGCTGCCTGGCACTCTTCACCGACACCGGCTACATCTGGATGGGGCTGGCCACGCTGAAGGTGAGCATCTCCCTTCCCTCCCCGTCGCGGGGCATTAGGGTGTCAGCCCACCCCTCCTCTCCCTGTCTGGCAGACAGATCTGGCAGGGTGGGGTGTCCACGCAGGGGGCACCCTCAGGGTCCCCACAGACTGAGGTCTGCAGGTCAGCCTCGCTGCCGCCCGCCCGTGTCTGCACTCCTGTCCTCGGGAGATCCGCCCTCTTTTGTTCTTCACCTGATTTTTATACCTTACTCCCCACTTTTTCTATTTCCGAACCTACCCTTTTGCTGGCCTTGCACCTGCCTTTCTCTGTCCAAACCACCCCCCCTGCAGATAAACAGCCCACCACTAATTGCTTTTTCCCCACCGGTCACAGTTCTGTTAAGTCCTTACCCAAGTTTGGTGGTTCTAGTACTGTTTCTTAGGCAGTCTCAGCCTTGTCGCCACTGCTGGTGTGGTCGCTTCGGCGTAGGGGCCTTGCTTGCGAGTCTTGATTCTGCCCTGCAAATTCCCCCACGTTGTGGGGCTCGTGCTGGTGAGGTGCTGGTTGCCTTCCGTGGTCTCCGAGACCAATCCTGCTCCTTTCGCCTTCGTTCACTTACCGGGTCTCAGTCGAGCACAAGCAGCTTCTTGCTCTACGTGCAGGCAAGCTGTGTGCTGCAGCAATGGAGGAATGTTTCTCACGCTCGGCTTAAGTGCTCGCGCAGCATCTTCGCCCTTCAGCTGCGTCGGCCGCAGCCCTAGCTGCCTCCAGAGCTAGAGATGGGGCCGGCTGCTCCCGCAGGACCCGCTCATGGCGCGGCACCCACGCTCCCGGTGCCCAGCGCAGCCTGGTCTGTGCTGCTCATCCCCCAGCAGCTGCCCTCAGCGCGTGGCCCCGGCAACGCAGGCGATGCCGCCCGTCCCTGCGCCGCCGTCCCCCTGACCCAGCTCTCTCCTGCTGCAGGAGAAGCTCTGCGAGTTCAACAGCAGCGTCCGATCTTCGCCCAAGCAGATGGTTTGGTGAGTGGTCTCCCCGCCAGCCCCCTCTGCCCCCGACCGTGCCTACCCACGCTCCTCCGGTACCCTGAGCCTTTGCTGGGGTCTGCTCGGCTCTGCGGCCACCCTGCTGCCTCCCCGCGATGAGCGGGAGCCTTTCGTGTCCCCGCTCCAGGCGTGGGGGGCTGCAGCTGGGCTGGGGTTAAGCCGGGGCTGGGGCTCCCTGGCAGGTGCATGCGTCCCCGGAGCCGGCAGCGTGCCGTGGTGGTGGCCTGGGACCGGCAGCTGATGGTGGTGGGGAACTCCACGGAGTGCATCCGGTATCCTTTGGGGAAGAGGTGTCATTTCCAAAGGCCAGCCCAAACTGCGGGCCTCTGTGGGCCCTCCGTGGGCCACCGCCGTCTCTGTCATGGGCGAGGGGTGCTCCAGGAACACCAGTGGTGTCAAGTGGCCCCCCAGGACAGTCAGAGGCGGGCGGACTTTTTCCTCTCCTCTGCAGTTTTGTCACGATCTCCACTGCCTGGTCCCGGCCAACCCAGTCCTGTACAGCAGCGAAAACCCCTCCTGTCTGCCTCCCTGGCCCCCTCCTCCGAGCCTTCCTGCTGAGGGGATCCCACTCCCCCTCGGCTCCGAGAGCAGCGGTGGTGCTGGGAGCCACCAAAGCCCCCGCGGCTGGGAGCGCTATCCCTGCCGAGGTCCAGTCCCGATTCCCCAAGGGCGAGGGCTGCCATGGGTGGGGGGATTCCTGTCCCTCCCAAGTGCTGATCCCGTGCCCTCTCTGCGGAAAGGGGGGTCATGAGCTGGGGGGGACGGGGGGTCCAGGAGGTCGCTCCTCGGCATCACTGGGGCCAGCCCTCAGCAGGGCTGGGCTGCACACAGAGCATCTTGCTTCCCGCGAGCCCTTAGCGGGGAGCGCAGGTTTGTCCTGGATGAGGACTCCTACCTGGTGCCAGAGCTGGACGGGGTCCGGATCTTGTCTCGCACATCCCACGGGTTCCTGCACGAGATCCCAGGTGAGATGGCACCGGGTGGCAAGGCTAAGTGGGGACCTCCCCCCCCCCGCACCCGGGCAGGCAGGTCTCTCCTGCACCGCTCGGTGCCCAGGACACGGCCCGTGACTCTGCCCAGCTCTGTGTGCGGGGGTCCGGCCTGCCCAGCCCTTTCTGGAGGCTCAGGAGGTGGTGAGAGCCCCACAGCCGAGTAGAGCCGTGCCCTGAGCCCCACCAGCCGTCTAGTGCAGGGCTTTGAACCCAGTCCCTCGCCCGGCCCCGGGCTCCCTCCTTCCCCAGCACCACACCAGTTCTGGTCCCCTGCTTTGCCAGCTCTGCTGTGCCCCTGTCCCCTGAGCGGGGCCCTGCAGGCTGCCACCTCCCCCTCCTGCTGCCAGAGCCCCCGTGCTTTGAGCCGAGGCCCGGCACAGCTCGGCACGCCTGTTCCTCACCTCCTGTACTGCTGCCACCCTCGCGCTTCCAGAGCGGAGCCGCCGTGGCTCTGCGCGGGGGAATAGCTCCTTGGGACCCGCGTGTCCTGGCAGCTGCCCCTGCCTCCGTCTCTTGGACCCTTGGGTCGATGTTTACTGGGGGCTGCAGTTGCGAGGGCTGGAAGAGCGGCCCCGAGCCATCCATCGGCACGGCTCTGCCCAGCTCCTCAGGCCGGCGGTGGCCGTGCTCCCACCCCGCCGAAGGACGGTGCCAGCACGGGCTCTCCTGCGGTCCAGAGCTGCAGGCAGGGACGGTGGCGGAGCCGGTTGCAGCGGGTGCAGGTGACGCGCCTGGGCTGGGGCAGCCTCCCACGTATTTTTTTTCCCCGTCTCTGCAGAGGCCAGCCAGGAGATCTTCAAGATCGCCTCCATGGCCCCAGGGGCACTCCTGCTGGAGGCACAGAAGGAGTACGAGGTACGGCCCGCTGCCCCACTCCGGGTCCTGCCTGCCCCTGGGAAGGTTGGGGTGTCTCTGATGCAAACCGCTGCCGGCGTTATCCTGCGGTGATGGGAAGGGGGAGATCCCGGAGGTCCCTGCCGGGGGCGAGGGCTCCCTTGGCCCCCCAGTCCCAGGGGTGCTGGGGCTCCCAGGGCTCACCCTGGCCGGTGAGCACCCCACCGCTCTCCCCCACGGGCTGCGCTCCCCTGCAGAAGGAGAGCCAGAAGGCAGACGAGTACCTGCGGGAGATCAAGGACCAGAAGCTGCTCCCAGAGGCGGTGAGCCAGTGCATCGAGGCAGCTGGCTACGAGCACGAGCCGGACACCCAGAAGTCGCTGCTGAGGGTAAACGAGGCGCAGGGAGGCTTTGGCTGCGGCTGAAAGCGTCCCCCTCCCGGCTGGGTGCGTCCCCCTGCTGGTGGTCGTGCTGCGGCCGGCACAAGCGCCGCCACGCCTCTTCCCACAGGCAGCCTCCTTCGGGAAGTGCTTCATCGACAAGTTTCCCCCGGAGAGCTTCGTGCGCATGTGCCAGGACCTGCGGGTGCTCAACGCCATCCGGGACTACCAGATCGGCATCCCCCTCACCTTCACCCAGTATCCTGCGTGGGACAGTGCATGAGCCATGACCCTGGGGCGGGTGCAGGATCTGGCCCAGGCAGGATCAGTGCCGTTTGGGGCTCCAGGCCCTGCTGGGGCGGCCGCCTCATAGGAGGAGAGAGCTGCAGAGCCGGTTAGCTGCTAGCCCCGCAGGGTTCGGGCACCAGCTATGCCCTGGGCCCCGTGGCAGGGGTCTGTAGCCGAGGCCTCTACGCTCATCACACCCCGCAGAGCTGGCCTGCGGTGCTTGCAGAGCCCTGCTGGAGCCATATGCACCGGGTGCTGGCCCAGCTGGCTTGGGGACGCTGCCAGGAGGGGGGGGGTGGGCGCCCAGCACGCGTTGCCTGTGCTCCGTGGGGTTTTGTGGTCCCTTGACTGTCCCCACAGATACAAGCGGCTCACCATCGAGGTCCTGCTGGACAGGTAAGGGTCCCCATGAGCTGGGCATGACAGCCCCATCCCCGAGCAGCCTGGGCCAAGGCAGCGTCCGGCCACACTGCAGTCCCCATCCCCACGGTCTCCATCCCCCTGGCCGGGCGCTGAGTGAGCTCGGTCCCCCGCGAGGCCGGCCGAGCTGCTCGACTCCTCGGACCCCTGTGGGGCCGTGCCGCTGACCCCACCGTGTGCCACACCAGGCTGGTCCTGCGGCGGCTCTACCCCCTGGCCATCAGGATCTGCGAGTACCTGCGCCTCTCGGAGATCCAGGGCGTCAGCCGCATCCTGGCCCACTGGGCCTGCTACAAGGTAAGGAGGCAGCTCGGAGGGTTCTGCCCAGGTGGGGCGTGTGGAGACCTCTCCGCTCGTGCCCTTCCAGGTGCAGCAGAAGGACAAGTCCGATGAGGAGGTGGCCCACGCCATCAACCAGAAGCTGGGTGACACGCCAGGCATCTCCTACTCGGAGATCGCTTCCCGGGCTTACGACTGCGGCAGGACGGAGCTGGCCATCAAGGTCTCGTGGCTCTGGCCGTGGCATATCTGGCTGGGCGGTGGGATGGCTGGGGGAGGGGGTCAGACGTGGTGGCCACACACTGACGACCCCTCTGCCGCCTGCAGCTGCTGGAGTATGAGCCGCGCTCCGGGGAGCAGGTCCCGCTGCTGCTGAAGATGAAGCGGAGCAAGCTGGCCCTCAGCAAAGCCATCGAGAGCGGGGACACCGACCTGGGTAAGGGTCAGGGCTGGGCAGAGGAGGGGCTCTGCAGCGGAGGGGAGGGGTTTTGGGGTCTGGGGGAGCCCGTTCACGGCTTTGTGCCTTGTGGGATGGGGGTGGTGGGAGCTGCTTGAGCCCTACGGGGCAGTGCTTGCCCTCAGCACGGGGCTCTGCCCTGCGCCTGGACGTCCCCTCACTCCCCTCCCGGTGCTGCTCCCCGGGGCCAGCCATGCAGGGGGCAGGGCCCCCATCCCCCCCTCCTGAACCGCGCTGCCTGCCCCAGTCTACACCGTCGTGCTCCACCTGAAGAACGAGCTGAATCGCGGCACCTTCTTCATGACGCTGCAGA